CATTTATACTGCAGTAAGATTGAGTTTTAGTTTTTTTATCATGTCACCTATTTAATAAAAAACAAAAAGAATTCATGTTATTTATTTATTTTATGTTTATAAAACCAGAACTGTTTMATTTGAAAAGTTATATACAAAGTACTACTGTTTTTATAGTAAAAACTGAGAAGAAGTTCTCTGATGTCAGCTGGCTGAGGCAGCCATCTTGATTTGGGTTTGCTCCAAAGTTTAATCAGCGGATCAATAATTACTTCTGAACGAGTCAGTAAAATTCCTCCAGTATTTCATGAGATATTTTGCTAACAGRCAGAGCTGAGCCTGATTAGTGCTCGTTGTGTTTAGATCATGGTTACCTCGATAAAAGCCACTCCGATGCAGATGCCCAGGACCACCCCGATGTTGGTGAGGAACCAGTTCTTCACGCTGGCGGCACACCCCTGCCCCCAACACAAACATCATTAATCAGAGGAAGTGGGCCGGGCGGCGGGTCACGTGACCAGGAAGTGTCCTCACCACTTGGTAGACGGGCCAGTTGTCAGCGGAGGCCTCGCAGAAGCCGCTGTCGGAGGCGTTCCTGGAGGCGAGGGTGAGGTTCTGACAGGAGCAGGGAAACAGCTGCTGCTCGCTGCTGCGGATGACCCCATTAGTGAACCAGTCCTCGGAGCCCCGCCACCCGCAGCACTGCATCTGTAGGCCCACCAGAGGCAGGGGGATCAGAACCTGGGGTCACTCAGACCAGGTCTACAGCCTGTCTGTGACGCAGTGAAATGAAGTCTGACAGAGTCCAGCTGCAGCTTTAACAAGTTCTTCAACTAGAAACTCTTTTATCTGACTTTAAAACATTTAGAACATCTTACATCAGAGTTTGACCTGGTCTGGAAGATGATGTTTAAAGTGCCAAATCAATGTACATGTTTAAAATGATAAAGGCTTGATTGTTAAAAATATGAGACAGTATCATCTGTATCCATATAATTTGTTGTTCTAAAACGATTTGATGTTTTTATTTTGTTTTGTTAACTGAAGATTATTATTGTTTGAATTTATACTTGAGAAAAAAAGGGCAGATGTTATAAGGTCCTGTGGACTTTCCAGGTTTTAAACATTAAATACATTTATTTTATTTATTGTGATTTATAAGATTTATTCATTTCATTAAAAACAAAATAAATTCTATAAACAGAAAAAATACAAATCACAAAAAAAATAAAAGACAGGAGAAGAAAATTTTCTTTTCCCAGAATAAATTCAAACAATATTAATTTACAAAAAACATATAAAATAAATAAGTGAGTGTTGTTCTGATCATCCTGTGAGGATTTGAAACATTAACTCAGACACATTATCATGTTTTTAAAGTTTAAAGAACATTCAGCTCATTAAAGACCAGGAGGATGAAATGTGAACGAACGAACGAGACCCGATCAGCCGACTGGTTCAGATCAAACTCACGTTCTTCTGGATGAAGTCCCAGGCCTGCTCCACACTGGAGGAGTTCCCAGGATAGTTGTCCATCACCTTCCTGGTGATCTCCCACATCCCATCATCCAGCTGCAAGACAACAGGCGGGTCAGAACCCAGACCCACCAAGAGTCAGACCAGAACCACTGAGCATCAGGTCCGACCTGCTCCATGACCCAACAGAACCACTGAGCTGCAGAAACTGGTCGGTCTTAGTGTGAATTAAATGAATYTATTTAAAATAAAATCTGACTGGAGGTTTTAATTCTAATTATTTCTTCTGCTGCTGGTTTTATTTATTTGTTTACATCAGTTTCCAGTTGTTACAGTTGTTCTATTATGATGAAAAGAAACAGAATATCAACTAATAAATCACTGTGGGCTGATCCCTCATCATCATCATCATCATCATCGTCATCATCATCTTAAAAACTTGGAGCTGAAGTCAGTTTTAAAATATGTAAAAACAACTTTTTTATTAAATAAAACTGAACCAAATATGTTAAATTTTTGATTAATTAATCTTGAAAATCTCTGAAATAAACAAAAATGTTTTTTTTATTTATAAAAACAAACAAACAAACATAGAAATGCTTCAGTTTGACCAGCAGGTGGCGCTGAAGCTCCACTTCTTTTTATCAGAAACATTGGAGTTTTTTCTCTGGAAAAATGAGACATTTTTTATGGCAACAGGAAGTGACATCACTCACCGTTGTTTTTTGCACATAGATGAAAACGCCGGCTGCTATCTGAGCGAGGAGGATCAGCAGGAGGCAGGTGAAATACTGAGGAGGAGGAGGAGGAGGAGGAAGAGTCAAACACCTGGTCAGCGTACTGACCCTCTGAAGGAACTAAAATATATTTAGTTTTTAATTTCACTGAAATAAAACTTCTGTAATTTTCTCATTTCTATGAACWCCAACAAAGAAACGGTTCAGTTTTTCTGTGGAAGCCATCTTGAATCTGGTCGACGAACATGAAATGATTACTGTGTGAAAATTTCAAAATAAAGTTCAGCTCTTCGTCTTTTCATATTTTGACAATTGTCACTATTGTCTTCTGAGWGAAGAAAATATGGATATTTCAGTCCAAATGTGAATAATGTGACTGATAATCTGTATTTTTTAGCTGTTTCTGGATCTGAGGAGGGATTAAATGTAAAAAAGGACCGTCTCAACTACGATCTGCGGCTCGGTTCCTGGCGTRTAAAAGGTTTGGACGACGTGTGAACGTCACATCTGTGTTGTGCCTCTGAGCTCTGACACATCCTCCTTCCAGATGAAGGGCGGGACTCACCAGGCCGAGCAGGCAGCGGACCTCGTAAATGGCTCCCAGGCAGCCGAAGAAACCCAGGAGCATGGAGAAGGCTCCGACGGCGATCAGGACGTAACACGCCAACTTCACGTGTGTGGAGTCATCTGAGGACAAACAGTTCAACTGGTTACCATTTTATGTTCCTAAATGAGTTCAAGCTTGATGGGTTTTACTGCGACGCAGACATTTCACATCTTCTGACAGAAACACTCAGCTCAGGAGGCTCTCACGCAGTGACTAAAACAATATGTGCCTCTTTGGTTTTTGGACCAAACCTGCAGCTTTAAAGGAAAAAGCAACAGAATTCCTTCAGAAAGGTGCAGGTAAACATGCAGCTTCTGTTAAAACTCAGCTGTGAAACWTTATAGTTTCATACAGCTGCAAAAAACCCATATTTATCTAAACCAGCTGTGAGCATCCRGAGCAGACGGGTCAAATATATTATCAGTAACAGTGAATGAATGCACTGTATTTATGATAGAGTAAACTCACCACATCAGAGGGTTAAGTGRTGGAAAATAGATCAAAATATGATGAATAAAATGAAACAGCTGACATATTATCCTAAAGAATGTTCTGACCCACTTTCCTGAGCAAAAACAACAACTAACAAATATGTTTGAGAAAAAAATCATAATTAGTTACTTCCCCTGCCTGCTAGTGAAGATTTCCTTTTATTGCCACTTCAGTAGAAAACAAAACTGAATGTTAGTTTCTTAATTTCCGCATCATTAGTGACCTTTTTTTAAATATACTCGAGTAAAGAAGAAAAAGAGAAAGAGAAATATAAGAACTGTAGAGAGAAACTGATGACATGTGAAATGTACACCAATAACACAAGACAACACACCCGAACTCTGACCATCAAAAAATGAAGAAAACAAACACCCAACAACCAAACATACACACATGTATGTACATTTACCCATATGCACATTTATAAACATATACACACTAATGAAGATATCCAAATATGGTTGGATGTTTCCTTGTTAGAATAACTTAAAAATGGGATTCAGACCAGTTTACGTGGGGTCATCTGGATTACCAAGACAAATCAAGCCACGTCTCTGGAACTGCTCATAAATTCAAAATCATCAGAACATAGCTTAAAAACAAGAATCTGAAAATTTAGTTTGAATCTCAGACTTGATGYGACGGTCTCAGTAAAGTGTGCCGGTGCTTTATTGATCATAAACTGTCACCTTTAATTAGAAATAAACCTAAAACGAGCAAGTAAAGGCAGGAACAAGCAGGACCGAGTACACAGCCCTGTGGGACTCCATATGTAATGATGAAAATGAGGAAAAAGAAAAATTTCAGTYGGGTAAATAAAACCTAAACTATTCTAAAACTGTTTTTAAACCAACAGTGATCCAGCTGAGAGATCAGGATGGACTGATCTTCAGTATCAACAGAACCACAAAGTCAGAACATGGAGATTTTAAACTTTTCTTGAGGACAAAGGTCAATTTAATCACTGAGGTAAGAGTCTAAATCAACATGTGTCATTTTAACCTGAACATAAAAGACATCCTCACCCTCAGTGTTCTTGGATTAAACCTCAGATTGACACAGAGACAGGAGGGATGTGTGCCAGTTTTCAAACAGAAGCTGAAATCGGGTCTTGTTGTTCTCTGGTTCTGACTCAGCGCTCTGTGCACCGTCTGATTTCATCACTGACTGATTCACCCCTCTGTGCACCGTCTGATTTCATCACTGACTGATTCACCCCTCTGTGTGCCGTGTCCATCATGGCCCACTCCTCGTCTTCATCACACGTCCCACTGAGCATCAGGGGGTGTCATTTATGAGCAGAACAGCCCAGCTTTCTTTAACGCCTCAGACTCACCAGGGTGGTCCTGCGGTGACGCAGTGAGGGTGACGCAGTGAGGGTGACGCAGTGAGGGTGACGCAGTGAGGGTGACGCAGTGAGGGTGTGCAGTGAGGGTGACGCAGTGAGGGTGTGCAGTGATGAGCAGGGAGTTGATGTGATGCATGCGGGCAGCAGAAAGAGCTCAGTGTGTGACGGCTGACACCTGCTGAGCAGACAAACGTCCTCAGAGACGCTGTCYGCTCGGCCCTCGCTCCGTCACACTCGCCCTCTGTTCGTCTGATTTATMCTCAGCAGGACGAGTCCAGACGTCTTTGTGTGATCACGCTACATGTTTGTGTTCTTCCACCGCCTCTGAGCACGGGCTCCTGGCAGAACTGCCTTCTCACGGGGGTGAGAGTGAAGTATTGTGTGTCTGCTTGGACAAACCAGCAGCTGATGGTTGGAGGKTGGACATAGTTTAGTCCAACAGGACAATAATCCAAAACAAGAACTGGTTTCTGATCTGATAAATCCTACGAACATTAAACATCKGGTCTTCTCAAAGCCATGACGTCAGCTTGATTGACAATCTGTGCACTCTGATTGGACACCGGCCAACATAAATGAACTGTATCTAACCCTGCCAAATAAAGATGTCAAATGTCCAGTTTGGACTACTGACGTGGGTCCATGTGTGTGCGGTGAACCCAAACTCATTTCACCASAACCACAAATACAAAAAAAGACATGAAAAGTATCTTAACTGGTGTGACTAAAACTAAACACAGTTAACAGAACGATACAACAAACAGATTAAAGCTGTTCAGACACTCACTGAGGACAACGATGAAGCTCTGATTGTCCAGGAGCAGCCAGAGTCCAAAGCCCACGAGGGCGGTGCCAAACAGCTGGAGACAAATACAAAAAGCATCATCATCATCATCATTAACAAAAAACAGGACAGTTATTACTAGCGCTGGGTGGTATACTGTTTTGTACCAAAAATCGGTTTTTATTTTTGTTATGATATGAATTTTCTGAATACCGGACATCCCGGTTTAAATAGCCTGAACACGTGTGGAACGTTTCGTCACGGCCGCCAGTGAACTGTTGTTTCCCGGGGGACACTTTTCCTCGCTGCACCGCTATGTGCGTTAGCATGCTAATGTTATTGTTGGAGCAGCTAGCTGCAGCAGCAGGTGGCGAATCCTCTGCTTATATTGACTGACGTTTAAAAAACATCCTGTTTTCACCGTCGCTGAATGTAGTAAACACCTCTTCAGTGACGTGCACAGTTAGATTTAACACCGTTAGTTAATATGGAGACGTTATGCTGATGGAGACTTAACATGGTTTTATTGTGAAAAGCCTGCAGGAAGTAGTTCGTAGTGGAGTTGGAATTGACTGGTGTGCAAGGTGAGTCGTGCTGATAAGCTTTAATAAATAACAAAACAATAAACCCGATCATTATCTTTTCTTAACCCTCCTCCTTCACGACTGGACCAAAATGATGACTACTGTCTGCAACCACCAGTCAGAGAAGAACAGACACAGAGGAGGGAAACAGAGACACAGACAGAGCTACAGGAAAAGAAAAAACTCAATAAGCAGRGTTWRTACATTTTATTATCAACTGACCTGTGATGAAAAGAAAAATACCGTCAAACTGGTGTAAATGTTGAGAATACTGTGATATAAAATTTGGGTCATACCGCCCAGCACTAGTTATTACAATAGTTTCAAACCACATTTAATGGATTAGTTAAAACATTTTAAGATGATTTGAACTTTTCTTTGAATCACTTATTTCCAAAGAGAGCAGGTTTTATTTCTCTCTGTGAGGACTTTTATTTTGACAGTACAGTCAGATTTCACTCAGAGAGAGTTGGTGTTTAAAAAGGTGAAATACCAAGATGTATTTATATTTATGTTTTGTTAGCAGATCCGGTATAGGTGGGGAGGGATGGGAGGGTTCTTAGGGGTGTGTGTTTTTGTTAGTTTGTTTTTTTGTTTGTGTTTTGCTAAAAATAATTAAAAAAAACTTTGAAAAAAAAAGGTGAAATACTCACAAAGAAGATGATGTTGAAGAGGAACAGGAAGTATTTACACACTGTCAAACAGCCTTTACCCATCTTGTTTTATCTGCAGAGAGAGAGAGGATCATSGTCAGCAGAACAAGTGCTGACAGACGATGGAAGAAACACAAGACGTGTTTAATCTGGTCCAGATGATCACCATCAGAGCTGAGGGGCTCAAATCTTCAGGATTACACCCACAAAACCTTTATAACCTCAATCTGTCAGCGTGTGGAGGAGGGGTCTGAGGGGCTTATTTCCACAGTCCGGTCTGCAAACCATCAGATTTGTTTCAGAGCTTCGTGTCCTCAGCAGGAGGTAAAACCAGCTCCATGTGAAGTGGACCTGCAGAAACTGATCATCCTCACCTCACAACATCACACCATCTTAAACAACAGGACAGTTTGACATCATCCTCCTGAGAGACATTACTGAAACATGTTGTTTATCTGCAGGAGGTGTTTGAAGCAGAGCTGAATAAAACCAGCTGTGGGCCACGACTGAACACTTAACCCATCAACATCTGGGGCAATCAGGCAGCAGCAGCTGCTACAGCTAGCTCACTGCACGCACAGCTTAAGAGACAGAAGCCACTGATATCAAGATCAGTGTTGTATAAAGTACAACACAGTGATACTTGAGTAAAAATACAAATATCTTATAAAATGACTTTAGTAAAAGTTAAAGTGTCCTTTAGGAATATAACTTGAGTAAAAGTCTTAAAGTATGTGAT